AATCCAGAGTTAATACCATTAAAAACCCTTAAAAATGCTGTCTCAGTGCTGTGTACTGATTTAAAACCAGACTGAAACTTTTCAGACATCCCATTATGATCAAGGTACAGCTGTAAATAGACCACTTTCCCAGAACCTTTGAAAGAAAGGGGAGCTTTGAGATTGGCCTGTAATTAGCCAGAATGGCTGGGTCCAGATTGTGTTTTTAAAGAAGAGGCTGAACTATAGCTTGATTAAAACATGATGGGACACAGCCTGTAGCAAGGGAAGCGTCAATTAATCTCTGGATAAAAGACCCGACAGTATTAAGTATTTAAGCAGACTTGGGGGAAGATAATCTGATGGGCAGTGTGATGATTTCAGGTGATGAACTACCACAGACAATTCACTCAGACAGACAGACTCACTGCTCTAAGACAGCTGAAAACAAAGGAGGAACACTGGGGTCTGAGGCAGTGGGCGATGAGACATAAGCCCGAACAGATGAAACTTCAAACCCTGGGATAGCACCAAGTCCAGTATGTGTCCTTTTTGGGGTGGGATGGGGCCAGTGACCCACTGTGTCAGGTTAAAAGAGTCAATAACACTTTTAAACCAGAAGTTCAGACTTGGGCGCTTGTTCCTGGGTGTGGCATGAGGATGGCTGCACAGGTAACCCAGAACAGAGGACTCAAAGATGGTGGAGGAAGTAACCTTGTCCTATCTCAGTTTGTTTGAGAACTAGATCGTAAGATGCTTTGATTTCTAATAGCAACTGGTGATTAAACACATGTAGTCCCAGGACATTTTGAGACATTATAAAAAGGAAGAGAACTAACAGCAGCCAAGACAAAATGGTCAAAGCTGACAGACGCGTCACCGTGCATACTCCACCATCTGTGAATGTTGTGTGTATATTTAACAATTTGTTTCATTAAAGTGTTTATTTATTTGTTCATCGTCAGGATTCAGACGGTTCCTACAGTTTCCTGGTTTATTACCTACATTCAGGCTGAGGGCTCAATGATGATGATGATGAAGATTTGATTGCACAATATAAACTATAGAAATGTATAAAAATGTCAGCTGCTAATAATTTTCCAATAACATAGTTGAAAAAAAATGTACAGACCAGGTTGAACCCTAATAACTTAATTCTCTGCGACCTGTCAGCACATGGAGTTTTTCCATCTATAGCTAAATAAAAAAATACTGCACATTGGACACTTACATGTGGAACACATCCCTTATGTCCCTTTCACATAAAAATCACAAAGGTGATAGACTGAGATTAGCGGCAGACAGCTGGAGTAAGCAGGCGTGACTGTGATCATCACCACTGTGACTGTTAAATTAGTTGAAAACGTAAATCTTGAGAATTACTAATAGTTTTAGGCACAGTGCCAGAGCTTTGTGGTTCACCTTATTAATCATCAGAAATATATAGTGCAAGTCCAAATACATATTTCTGGCAGAAATACACACAGACTAAACTTTGAATATTAGCAGTTCAGTGAAATAATCGTTGTTCAACTTAGCAATAATCATAGAATGCAAGCATCACTTCCTGTTTGGCTTGTTCAGTGTGCACAACCTGTATTTTATTTGCTGAAAACCTGTATCAATATTTTATAGAAAGGCTTATTCTGTCATAATTATATATGCTCTGAACAAATTTAAAAGGTATAAGTATATAGAGTATCAAGGGCTTTTAATCGTGGTTTCCAACTCCAGGCCTGGAGGGCCGGTGTCCTGCAGGTTTTAGATGAGTCCTTGATCCAACACAGCTGATTAAAATGGATAAATGATCTCCTCAACATGTCCTGAAGTTCTCCAGAGGCCTGGTAATGAATAATCATGTGATTCAGGTGTGCTGACCCAGGGTGAGATCTAAAACCTGCAGGACACCGGCCCTCAAGGCCTGGAGTTGGACACCCCTGGTGTAAATGAATGCGCCTCCACACTGCCCCCCCTTGGTGAATACACAAGACATTTCCACCTAATTCTCACTCAGGGGTGTTATTACTCATGGTTGCATCGTCCACGTCACAGGTGAGGTGTACCATTATGTCCATCCATCAGCGAGCAATCATGATCTGTATCTGTATGTGAGCTTGTTCATCAGGAATAAACATTAATATCTGTAATTATAAATAAATACAAAGGAGTAGTGCTTTATAAATGATGAATTAAACACTAATACCTTACTAATGCCTAATATTGTGGCATTATTAGGCAGACAGTGAATATAAAGTGTTACTTTCACCTACTTTGCTCATCCTGAGCTGTGCCCCATGTGCCCACTTTGGGATGCAGTGTGAGCTTCAGTGCAGGTTTGGATTACCTGATGACGTTGCTCTGCAGGTGATCACTCTGCTGCTGTTCGTCTTGAGCTTGAAGCCTCATGGCCTCCTGCTCCTCCTCCGACTGCTGACTCAGACCGTCCATCAGCCACTGCTCCCTCAAAGCCTTCTTCTGTGAGTCAACCAACACACAGGCCTCTGCTTTAGCCTCAAACCAAGCTCAGTGTTCTTCTCATATTTAAAATGTTCAAATCTACGGTGACACCTGCTCTGTTTTCAAAAACTCTTTTCTGTTAAGCAAAGAAAAATGTGTAACTGATTTCTCTATCAGATATTTGAGGAACATTACGTTTGCACACACTCAGTTTCACAAACAGCATAGATCCAACACTATGAAGCAGCAGCTGCAGTGGAGCCCTCGCTTCCCGTTCAGCTGTTAGTCTCAGTCGGACATATTTAGATTTGCCAGAATGGAACCAAAGAGCTTCTCAGTATAGTTGGCATGGAAAGCTTTAGTGAAATTGTAAAAACTAATGCTGTCCAAATAATAATGAGATGGATCTTAGTTTTTAGCATGTACAGTTTGGAAACTCAGACACAGGAGCTTTTGTAAGCACAGGTTGTAATCATGACTGGAAGAGTAGAGATTTTCTCAAAGCTCTGCTATAAATATGCAGATGTGTATTAAACAAACCCAACAAAAACCTTCACTATGTTAAAGAGACTGAGATCCTCCAGATTATCTCTGAGTGGAGTAAACTCTGTATTCAGAGTGTATCTGTATTTG